GAGCTGGGGGCGAACGCGAGCAGAGGGGCCGACCCCTCGAAGCCGTCGACGATATGGTCGGCAGCATCCCGGACGCGCGCGCGCGTCGTCCTCGGTCCCGGGAGGGAACTCCTCCAGCGCCATCCAGGGAGAGAAATCGGGGTCCCGGGCCTGGTAACTCGCTAGCACGAGTTCGACCGCCCCCCGGGCGAGGTCCCTCGAGGATGACTTGATGGTCTTGTCGAGCTCCACGGGGAGTCGTTCGAGGACCCAGGCCATCCTGTTGAGGTGCGGAGCGAGGCCTTCCAGGTTGCTAGGGCGCGTCCTCGTCTGGCCTTTCCAGAGGCCCGCTTGCCGACCGGCGCGATCCATGCGGGAGACCGAGTCCCAAAGCATGTCGGGCCCCATCTCGCTCGCCAAGCGGAGGGCCTCGGCCTCCCCGATGGAAGAATCCAGCGCGCGCTGCATGTCAGCGACGGTGTGTTCGGCAGCCGCGAGGCGAGCGGCTAAGTCGCTTTCGCCCGCAGCCGCCCCACCGATGCGCGCCCTCGCGGCCAGCTCTTTCTCCCGTGCCTCGAGGTTGGCAGCCCGCTGCTCCAGCGCGGCTCTCTCGGCACGGACGCATTCAAGGTTGCGGCGCGCCTGCTCCTCTTGCGCCGCCTCCCGGAGGGAGAGGCTGTCCGCCAGCCGTTGCGTCGTGGCCTCGGCCTCCTCGAGAGCTCGCTCCCGCTCAGCGAGTGCATCCTCGCGAAGGCGGAGCGCGGACTCCTCCTCGGCGCAGGCGGCCTCGTGCGCCGCCAGCGTCGCCTCCCGGAGAGCAGTGGCGGCCTCGCGGTCCGTGAAGCCCTTCTCCACGGTGCCGGCGTGTTCTTCCAGCGCCATGGCACGGGCCTCAAGGGCCTCCTCGCGCCGCCGGGACGCCGCTTCGGCTTCCGTTGCCCGCCGCTCTCGGGCAGCAGCGGAGTCGAGAACCCCTTGGGCGGCGTCGAGCTTGTTCTTCAACTCCGCCTCCCAGCTCCCGTGTTGAAGGCGGAGGGAGTCCTGCGCCTCGATCATCGCGGTGGTGGCGACGAGGGCGGCCTCTCGCTCCTCCTCCACCTCTCGGGCGATCTCCGCCAGCGCCGTCTTGCGGGCTTCAAGCTCCGAGATGTGGCGGCGGTGGGCCTTACGGCCCACCTCCACCATGGCGTCCACCGAGCGCCGCCCCTCCTCGACGCGCGCCCATGCGGCCTCGAGCTCCGCTCGTTCCGCTCGCAAGGCCTCCACTTGGGCGCTAAATCCATCTAGCACCGCGGTGTTTGCGGCGGCCAAGGCCTGCATAATGGGCTCGGCGCTCACCGGGGCGACGGAAGAGGAGGAGAAGAGCCGCCTTGGAGAAAATGCGACGCGGCTTGGCCCCCCGAAGGATGCGCTGGGCTCGGGGATGTCCCCCGGGCCCGTTTGGTCCTGGGCGTCGCCCGGTGAGGTAGGCCCAGGCGATGTGCCCGCGGCCTCGTCGCGAGCCTCCCCGGAGGCTGTCGCCTGAGGGTTGCCCGAGGGAGTGGGCCCAGTTGACGCGCCAGCAGCAGCTGTTGCCTCAGCCTGGCGAGCCCGGGCGGCCTCCTCCTTAGCGGCTTCCTCAGCCCGGGCGGCCTCCTCCCGAGCAGCTTCCTCCGCTTGGCGAACCCGGGCGGCCTCCCGGGCGGCCTCTTCAGCTTCCCGAAGGCGATCTGCGGCTTCACGCCGGTCAGCTTCTCGCCTCCGCTCTTCTGCGGCCGCCGGATCTTCGGCCTCGGACTGGCCGGACTTGGGGTGGCGGGAGGAGTGCGACGGGACATCGCTGAAGCAGAAGAAAAAACCAGAAGACAAACAAGATGGGTAAGAGAAAACTTGTTTAATGGGATAGAAGAAAGACGGTCGCAATGAGAATGGGGCGAACCTGCGAAGGGGTCGGTTGAATGACCACTTTGGAGGGGAAATCAGGTTTCCCCGGCATGGTTCCGTCTCCCCCGTCTTGCGGAGCCGTTTCTTCTTGCGCTCCCCCTCGGGCTGCGACGTCGGCGCGGCCCCCTCCGGGCGCCGACTGCTGGCACGCGCCGCCCCGCCCCCTCGGGGAGGAGATGGGGGAGGTGTTCCTCCCAACTTCCTCTTCCCCTGGGCGTCGGCAGGGCGGCTGCTCCCCGAGCCCCCGACGCGGGGCCCAGAAGCACGACCCCCTCCTGGGGCAGATTGTTCCCCCCGGCGGCGCTCGCCCGCGCCGTCGTGGCCCTTAGGGGCTCTCTCCTCTGAGGCCCCGACCCCCAACATAATGGTTAGAATGGAGACGCGGTCGGGATCGATGCAGAGGGGGAGGATCTCCTGAGGAAGGCGAGACGCCTCCGCGGAGCTAAGATTCAGCACCCTTTGGACTACGATCTTGAAGTCCTCGGGAGCCCAATCCCATCTGGCTCCCTGGTGGGTCCGCATGTAGTCTTCAGGCCCAGTGTACTCCCAGGCGCTCCGGGCGCGCCGTTGGAGCGGCGCAATCCGACGGCGGAGGTAATCGCCGTACACCATGGCCCCGGTGAGCCCCTGGGATCGCAGGCCCGCCAGGCGGTCGAGGACGGCGTCGTAGTCCTCCCCCAGATCTACCGGCGCCCGCCAGCTGGAGACCTGCGCCGGGGGCTGGCTTGGAAGTCGGAGGCGCGCTTCGTTGGCGAGGGGGGTGTAGAACCAGTCGCTCTTCCAGTCGTCCCACTTCTTGCGGAGGACGCAGGGGATGTAGCGGTTCAACACCGGCCCCCGCGGCTGGAAGTAGCAGCCGCCAACCACCGACGGCGGTGACACCGACTGCACGGTGAAGAACCACCGGAACAGCTGAAGAGAGGGGCGCACCCCAATGAACATCTCGCACAGGTGTGCGAAGATGGCCAATGTCATCACCGCATTGGGGGTGAGGTGCGCCATCTGGAGATCGTAGAACTCCAGGACATCCATGAAGAAATGAGAAAATGGCGGGACCAGCCCAGCCATTGCGAAGGGGAGGAAGAAGATGGACCGCCCCGGGTAGTCTGGTGCCGGGCGCCCCTCGCCCAGCATTACTATCTCCCGACCGGTGGCGGACTCCGGCATGAAGCGGCGCGGCAGTCCGGCGTGCCTCTCGTTCACGATGCGGGAAGGCGGCAGTACACTGCCGTCGAGCAGAGCAGAGCCCCGTGCCATGGCGGTGGAGGAAGAGATGATTGGGAACGAGCGCGTGTGGCGAAAGTAGGGCGTAGCAGAGAAAGAGTTAGAGCTCAGGCGGCGAAGGCAAGAGGAACAATGGCGAAAGGAAGGGAGCAAATCCTTTTCTCGATGCTTTTATACCCTTGCCATCGCTGGGCCTGGCTCCTCGTTTCTCGCGCCCACTACCTCGCTCCCTCGTATCTCGTTATCTCGCTCCCTCGTTTCCCGTGCCCCCGCTTCCACTAATCCCATTCGCCCGCTTACGGCGCATGAAGTGGATATGCGTTGGTGGCAATCGAAACGGATTGTATCGTGCGCGCGTTAATTACGCTCGCCGACCGAAGCGGCGTTACCGTATCTCCGGGCGAGACAAATCTGCTCACCCAGATTCGCGCGCTGCTCAAGTGGTGTGGCAGTCTTGAATAGACCGCCCATTATGAACAACCAAAGTTACCAATATCAATGTGCATGAATTGAGACCGTTGGGTATTTTGCCCAACTACGGAGACCGGTCCCACCTGTCACCAGGCTTTAGGGGTGGCGTCACACCTGACCGCTTCCCTGGGGAAGGGAAATTGCTCTGGCATAACGCCGGGGGCTACTGTCGGTGATATGGGACCGGGAGTATCATGACCAGAGGCTTGAGGCAGACGCAATCGCCCACGTGGCCTGGCACCTTCGGGGACGTCGGGCCCGAGGGTGAGGTGTCCGCCCTCCTCCTGATTTCCCCCGAGGGGGGGTCGGGTTGCGCTTGCCCCGGCCCCGAGGGCCGAGGCACCCCGACCCCTTAAGGAAGTCTGCGCCACATATATGGGATAAGTGAGCACAGCTGTGCTCACCTAACAGCATTTATTGCAGTCTGGTCAAGCGTGTCATGCTGCATGCAACGCAGTACAGCGCGTTCCTTTATCCGGTCTGTGACCAGTCACAGACCGGTCAGATCACGGGTTAGGTGGCGACTGGCGGTCTGACGCACGCCTTGCCCCATCCCGTCAAGACAAAAGTCTGTAGGCACTCGTCTCAAGCCGGAGCTAGCGTGTTATCTCTTAGAGATGGCACGTTAGCCCTGGTCAGATTTATACCAGGCTTCATCCTAACCATTACAGGCAAGGTGTTACACGAAGAAGGGCAAACATGCACGTTGTTAAGCTGACGCGTGGCGGACAAGAATGACCGGTCTGGCACTGGTCGCGTCATCGACAGACAGCCACGGTCCCGCGTCATCTCTGTCTTCGGGGGAGGTGGGGGTAGGTGTGGGCTGTCCCATCAGAAGGGCTCCCGGATGGAAACCGTACCGATCTCCGCCCATTAAAGAGAAAAAGAACAGTCCAGTTTGGAAAGAGAAAGGGGCATGTGGTATCCCCTTGAGATATAAAAGGAGGACCTTGCCCATTTAGAGAAGGGACTTTTTCCCTTTTGGAAGGCTGAGGGGAAAGGGAGTTAATCCTTTGTAACTTGTCCATACACAAATCCACAAAAACACAGGAGTAGGGTATTACGCTGAGCAGCGGCCCGAACCTGTATAGATCGCCGCCGTGTCTCGCGTTTTCTCCGAGCAAGCGATCTTTCCACATATAGAAAGAGCTTGAGATCTCACCCTAAGCCCCCGGCCGAACCGGCAAAGGGGGGCCTGCGCGGTCTCCCGGTGAGGAGCCACGAGCTCCGTCACACCTGTAACCGGAAATTAAATGGAATCATTAGTAATTGCAAAAAAATTAACAAATGAATACGAAGACTCGTTAGTAATTCCCTGACGCTGTGTCACCTGTGACTGCCTGACCCCGGATAGGAAGACCCAGGATCATGGCGACGTCCTCCAGAGTGACCGTCAGCTCCCCGCACGGTAGGTGGAAGGTGTGTGTCTCTGGACGCCACCGGTCCACTAGGGCCGTCAGAGCAGCGGCGTTGTACAGAGGCACCGGTCGCTGCGCCATGGTCACGAACGCCAAGAGCTTCGCCCGCCGTAGGTACGGGACGTACCGGTCGTCGAACAGTATGTGCGCCGTGTGACCTCTGACTCGAAGGGTCTTCAAGCGCTGCATCAATAGACAAACATAATAACATGTTAGTCTTGTTCTATTTATCTGAGCTAAATTACGATATTTGTATGATTTTCATTCGATGAAACAGTATGTTAGTTTAAACGATAGTTACTTTTTACGAGCAGTGAAATAAAAATGAAAGAGCGAACTGAGTAATCAAGAATAATATAAAATCATAAAGATTGAAAACAATCCTTGGAGCAATGGGCAGAGTTGGCGATACTTTTTTTTATAGTTTGCAATCAATATTATGACAATTTCATTTTGTCCTCGACAAGCATTTGATTCAGAAATTGATCATGTACAAATTCCCTGCTAGGTACAGTTCCATGGTAATAGAAGCTCTTTGTGAAATTGGGGATCCAAATGGTTCGGATGTTGATGCAATTTGCCACTACATAGAGGTTGTGCATCTGCACAAATTTTCTTATTTGGTATCACTATTTGCCAGTAGTTATTTTTATTTCTTCTGAATTCATTCAAGTTTTGTTCGTTCTTGATTTCGTAATAAATTATGATTCAGATATGTGTACAACTAACATGATCAGAATATTAACAAAATGCGATTGCTTGATTCTTTTTCTCTTCTGAATCATTGCCTGATTGACTGTATGGTATAAAGTCCCTCAGTTATTGGTATATATGTGTGCCATTGTGTTTATTTCAGCTTCCTATACTTTAGGAAGCTTCTAAAAGTGCCTTTGCTACTACCGGAGCTTTCACTTTGGATTTTATAATAATTTCCTGCACAACTACCATTTCCCATTTCCCGCTATCTTCCTCGCATAATCAATAGCTGGGTACACATTTAGGGCCTCTGCATGACGAGTTGATGACTATGCATAACATTGGTTGGAGGATAGGGAAGCCTCACTGAGCTGCCTCACTGAGCTATCTTCTCAGCATTTGTTTTGATTTGAGGGAAATTTGCGATTTAAAGATTTTGCAATTATAACTCTGCATCAAGCCCATAATTCAGATTCTTCATTTTACTTCTCTTTTGTAAAATTGGCATTCAATAACTCAATTTACAATTATTCATTGTGGAACTGTGCAAGTGGTAGCTATCTAACTACTTATGTTGACATTTATCTAACTACATTATACTTTTGACATGATTCGATCATAAAAATAATGGAATATTGTTGATGCTAACCTCTCCGCTGGCAATCTGTGGGGCCCGGTGCTTCTCCTCGTAGAAATCCTCCAACCCCGGAAAGTGCTCCATCCTGCAAATGAAAATGGAATCATTAGTAATTGAAAAAATATTAAATGGAAAAATCACAATGAGAACGGAAAGGAGGACAACAGAAAGTAAACATTGAAGCAACAATATGAACTTAGCAAATGAATGTCATCCAATCCCACCTGGTAAGATCCTCGAATTGAGTTATTTCCGGGTTTCTACCCACCAGTTTCGCAAACACAGTCCTTTCATGCTCTGACATCTTACGCACTGGACGATCATCATCGGAGTCGGAAGCGGACTCATCCAATTCATCCTCTGTATCATACTCCAACCAGCCTGGGTTCAATCCACTGCGTATCATAGCCTCCTCACACTCCTCTCGGGTATAGAATTTCAGCCTAGCCAACTCCCTTAGGCCCATACTTACATTCTTAGCATTCGCTTCTTCCTCAGGCAACTCCACATCATCTCCTACCTCCCGACCATCCTCAACATCTCCTTCCTCTCTTACCGGCACATTCTCCTCCACATTGACTTCCTCCCTTAACGGCACATTGTCCTCTGCATGTACTTCTTCCCTTAACGGCACATTCTCCTCTACATGTACTTCCTCCCTTACCGGGTCATTCTCTTCCCTGACCTCCACATCCGCCATATCATTTACTCCCTCGCCCCCCTCCACGTCTTCCTCAATCAATTCTTCCTTCCTACTACACCTCTCCGACAGTTCGTGACAGCTAATGGGTGATTCTATGAGTGGACTTTCATTAGGGTCTATAAGTTCTTTCTTCCCTATCCTACCATCTTTCTTCCATGCAAACACCTCAAGAGATTTGAAATGTGACCCCAATACTATATCTATATATGTTTGCCATTCGATCTCTCCATTCAAGTCTAACATAAATTTATGTGACATGACACCGCCGCGCACATCGTATCTCCCTTGCATACCAACCGACTCATCATTCCAATCCAATTCATGCTTGATGCGAGACATTAACTCCTCAAAGGTAGGCTTCGCAAAAAACACTAATTGTCTAACTGTCATTCCCTCAAATTGGCTTCCATGTGTACTTTCATCTACCACACAACCACCATAATGAAGCCGGACCAATCTATCCATCTACAATTTTTAACCCATGCATAAACATTAATTACTTGAAAATAATATGTAATTACCATTGCAATACCAATACTTCAAAAGCTAACAACATGTCTAATTTTTCCAATAAATAAGTACATTACTCAAATACTACACATTATTGATAAAAAAAAACTCTACTCCTACAAATTACCTACCCTTCACCACACATCAACCCCTTTCAAACCCTCTCAATCACCACAAATCCATCCCACATCCTAGGCCATCACCACACATCCATCTCCCATCAAACCCTAGTGCATCACCAAACATCCATCCCAAATATATTTTGTCAAATGTATCAATAACAACCAAATGGATAAAGATATGCCACCTCCACACTTCATCCCCACCCATATTATCCATCTAATAATCCATCCTTAGCCAACTATTATCAAACCACGTCTACAACCAAAACAATGCAAAATATCCAATAAAACTTTGGGTAACTTAGGGTTTATAGAGGGGTTTACCTTCTCTTCCGATCCCAAACTCAATGCCGCACAAATCACCTTCGATTAGAGAGGTTTTTGGGGGAGATTGGGCGAGGAGAACTCGGTGGCGACCGAACCCTAGGCGGGCGGCTGGGGAAAAAACGGAGGAAGAACTGGCTGGGGCGGCCTCGGCCGGGCTCTAAGTAGCCAAGGTCAGCGCCAACTTACTTGGCGCTGAGGTTGGGCACCTCCGCGCCGAAGCGGTTGGCGCTGAGTTAGCTGCCACGTCAGCTAGGGGATCGGCCCGGCCGCCACGGTGGCACAATGTCAGCGCCAGTCCCGTTGGCGCTGACACGGCCAACCTCAGCGCCAATGCGCTTGGCGCTGAGCCGACGGCCTAGTTTTGGTTGAAGTTTTTGGCAGGGGTTAGTTTCGAAATAAGTTTTTGAAAAGGGTCAATTTGTCAAAAAAACGGTGGTAGCGAGCCCTGTGCACTTCCGATAAGACCGTGTTTCCATGGTAAAATGCGCATCCGATGAAACAGAAATGACAGAAATTAAATCCTCATTATGCAAATGTATCAAGATGTTTCCATGGTACGGGGCACTCTGAAATTACTATCTTCCATCTTCAGTTATAATCCTGTTAATTTGTGTTTGTTGTAATAATATTGCAGGATGCATTCGGTATATTGTTACCAAATGCCAATACCATGGCAAAGGTTTGCAGATGTGTGCTTTTCTAGCTTTCGGCTAACCATAGAACTGATTGTTTTGTACGTACATACGTGCCGTGTGTTAGGGCACAACAGAAATTTGTTTGGCTTTGGACGCGCATTGCCGCCAAACCCTGTGCAAGTTCAAACCGCGGAGTTTTTTCCGATCGGGATGTACCACCAACCAAATTTCGTTCTCCGCGATTCAGGATTATTACGTTATGCGTTGCAAATCTTGAGGTTTGTTTAGAGCTTGGAAGTATCGCATTATATATGAAATGTATAAAATCTTGAAATGTATCGCATTATATATGAAATCTTGATATATACATTTCCTGTAGGAATTATATATGAAATGTCCGTGTTCCAAATGTGACCGTGTATTAAAACCCATATGCAGGCAGATTATTCTGTAGCCTGACAACCAAGACAGACAACACTAAAATGGTAAAACGGTAAGTGGATGGCTCCAAGTAAAGAGGGGAAAGATTAGTAATTATTTTTGACATTATATCATAACCCTTTTACGACTACTATCTACAAGACAGAGAGTACATGCTGTACATCATATATGTAATGATATGCCTATAAACGTGTTGCCCTTGTAACACATGACATGCTATACTAAACAAATGAAAGCAAACCGCATAAGAGCAAGTTTAATAGTACCGCCATCAACTAGTTATAAACATGTAGTACATGTCATCCGAGGGGTCAGTATCGTTTGTGATGAAAGGCGAACCCAGGTTCGCCGTTGTTGCATCCAGACCATCCGTACTTCAATCAACGGCGGCATGGTTTAGCACCTCAAAGACGATTAACAGCTAATTAAATAATATAACAATTTTTGTATATTAGTCCAATTAATTAACAAGATCGGTTCTGTCTATTAATTTTCTTATAATAAAATACTCTTGTACAACAAATACAGTTTAGTTTTTTCAAAATAAATGTTTAATTTTTGGAAGGATTTTAGCAGTAGAGTTGCTAGATGCTTAAGGACGTGGGATAATTATTTTACTATTGTATAAATAAAGGATTTTCTTATCCTGAGATTGTTTGCTTCTTGATTTTATCTTATTTTTTAAGTTGGTTCCAAAAGGCGAGGGAGGTATTAGTTGTATTTGATTTACCGTTGGAGATCGTTTCCTTGATTTTTTTTAAGAGAGAACAAACTCTTAAGCTGCTAATTAGTCACTAAGAGGGTGCTAACTGCTAAACTATGGAACCGTTGATTGACATATGGATGGCCTGGATGGAACCAATGGTAAACTTTGCCTTTGGTCCCAGATGCAGAGGATACGAACCCGTCATCCGAGAGATGAGAGATAGAAATAAAGATACAATAGCTGACTATTAATCTACCTACACACTTCTTTAGGTAGTTAATTTTTTTAGAACATTGCTACATGTACTAAATTTGCACTAACAATCATCTCAGTCGTTTAATTTACATAGATGAAAATTATAAAAAATCTAGATGCACTGATAGTATGACGTGTAAGTGTTAGTAAGAATTTTATGAAGAAAAGTTAGTACGTATAGACTTTTCCTTTATTTATTTATTTTTTATTCTAACTTGCTATTCTCTGTCCTATCCTGTGTGTTCTATTGATGGGGCCATATAGCAATATTATTAGAGAAAAAAAGGACACGGATTAGCATCGATTCCTGTAATTTGCATATAGCTTCTTGTGCTGCAGCTCAGCGCTCGCTGGAGCGCCCGTTGCCCTCTCCCTCCAGCTTTCTCTCTCCTCCACCTATGAATCTGGATGACGTGGCACTACTACCGCCAACTGAGTGTGGCTTACTCTCTCCATCTACTTTTAATAGTCATATTTCATCTTGGCACAATGACCAAGGATAAGTAATTAATTCTACTTATCATCCATTTAAATATGATACTAATTATTCCTCGTAAACAAGCGATTCATTAATATTTACATTTCTCTATGCCCATGTAGCCAATCTTGTGTAGAAGAATGGAGAGCAACGCAGTAAATCCGATAAAGTTATTAAGAGGATAGGTGGTTGAATTGAAATATGTCTATCAAAAGTAAAATTTCCAGATTTAGAAATATATCTATTAAAAGTGGATGGAGGGAGTATTAAACTTGCTCTAAATCCATGACCTTGATTACTGAACTCTCACTACTTAAAAAAAAAGATTTTTCTATACGAGAACCCCTTTAGGTTGCAGACGGACTGTAAGTGACGGCGTCGGTAAAAAATGACCTTTATTTTCGCATGTAGCTCCTTAAGACACCCGTATAGAAAAATCGATTTTCCATGCGGGCCTCTTAAGAGATCCACATGCAAAAATTGTATATATCAAGGTTTTAACCAACAAGTAAAGTCTATATATTCCTTATATATTTGAAAGGAATTGAAATGATGAAAAGTGAAATCAGAGAAGTATTGTTCTATACACACTCATTATTATTATCGCTATAAATTCAAATGGATTAAATCTATATACGGATTAAATTAGCACGATGAGAAGGTACTGTCGCGTGTGAATATATACCTTTATGTACCAAATAGGGAACCAAACATGCCTCAAAGTTCTTTTTACTTGTCGACACCAAATTACGGTTCGATCGAAAAAATCAGCTGTTACCCACCGTGCATTAATTAGATATTGTACATAGCTTCTTTTTTTTTGAAAAATAATGGGTGAAAATATGGTCTCTATATTTATACTACCTTCATCCCAAAATAAATCGTGTAGTTCAAATCTAAAATATACTGCTACACTTATTTTTGAACAAAAAAGGTATTAAGGGTTTATATTTAATTTTATGGGATATCCTATCGATGTTTGTGCGGTAGCTTTGTCGGATTGCCACATCCCCTCGTGACATGGAAGACCGAAAGTGATCATTGTGTGTTTGGACGGCTGGCTTGCAAGCCAAGCTACAAAAGTTAGCGACAAATATTAATTACTTGCCCGTTTGAAAATAAATGGCATCGTTGTTTTCCACAGTCATTATTCATTTTTTTACTAGTAATTAAACTAAAAATATATGTGTTTCACAATTGAAAATGTTTTTATATATTGTTAATTTTGTAGTTGTTGATAATATATTTGAAAAAAAATAATGATCAAACAAGTCCGTGTAGAAATATAATACTGTCTTATATATATATTATTGAGTGAGGGAGTACATTAATTTAAGTCCTCTCATTTAGGAGTAGTAGCTTTTGTGATTATATTTTCCGGGCGTTGGATGATGCATTCTTGTCAACTTGTCATGGTCTCTATTTAGTGTGAGGACGTGATCGATAATACGAATTGAATCAGCAGTGATAACTGCTATGATAATTAATTTTGTTAGGTCATGGTTTATCTTTTGACATCCCCTATTGATTTAAGAGTGTTCTAATTGTGCACACTAGCGAACAGACAAGTATGATATACTAGGTGAAACCCCGCGCATTGCTGCGGAAATTTAGTATGATAACAATAAAAAAACGTGTAAGATAGCTAGATAACATCAGATTAAATAAATTAATGTGGTTTATGATAATTTAAATTTAAATAGTATGTAGAATGACGATTCAAACGGAAAAAGTAAGGTGGTATGACTTTATGGAAGAAGAAAAGTAGGGAGATAGTTTGGACCGTTGATTAATCATCTAAAGGCTAAAAACAATTGATGTGATATGATTTAATTAGAGGAACAAAGGAGAAAGATAATTTGTACCATAGTTTAATCATTTAAGCATTAGCTAAGTGAAGATGAACTATATAAGTATATAAGATATCATAAAACATAATAAAGATATGCATTGAAACATTGTGTGAATTATGTTGGATGATAATTTAACATGCTTGTATTTGAAAAGCTCTTAAATTATAAAAACTATAAAGTTATAGCATGTTTGCACGATGTTTAAATGTGATGATTGTTAGTGGGTGATGATGTGGCATCTTG